TTAAAGGTTCAAGTCCACTTAGAGGTGACTCAGATAAAAAGCCTAGTGGTCTTTGTCTGAAGAATCAGCCACTGAGTACCCTATGCACACACATGGGATCACCGTGAGTCAAAGTCGACTCAAAGGCAATGATTGTGCCAAGCACTTTGCACTGTTGTTGTTGTTAAGTACTATTGAGTTCGTTCCAATTCATAGTGAACCTGAAGGGTTTTCAAGGAGCAGCTGGTAAGTTTGAACCACCAGCCTTGTGATTCAAACTGACCTTGCAATCTAGTGCTTTATCCTACCACACCATACCAGGACTCCAGTTTGCATTGGTGGTGGTGTGCAGTGGAGTTGGTTCTGATTCACAGCAACCCCATACAGGGTTTTCAAGGCTGTAAATCTTTACAGGAGCAGAAAGCCTCATCTTTCTCCTGTGGAACAGCTTGTAGTTTCAAACTGCTGACCTTGAGGTTAGCAGCCCTGTTTGTAACTGCTATGCTACCAGAGCTCCTTCCACTTTGCGTTAGGGCATCATTTATTTATCACAGAAATTCTACAAAGTAGATATTATTATCTTCATTTGTCCAGATTAAGAAAGAATGACTCAACAAGTTGTGTAATTTGCCCTGGAGCTCACAGCTAATAAGCAACAAGAACCAGGTTGAGGAAACTTGGCGCATCTGAATCCAAAGACCCTTCTTGTCTTCCTACCTCACCAGATGCTCCAACTGGCCAAAGGTCCAGCATTTTTAGCAACATCTCAGAATCTTCATAAAAGTGTTAACCTAAGCAGAAGTTAGAAGTGGGTCCCCCTGAAGGCGAGGCTTAGGCAAGTGAAAAGCCCACACCTTTATCTTTCTTCTCCATCACTCTCTTGAGAAAAAAATTTTTTCATTTCCAGGAGTGAATTAACTAGATGAAGTGCCAGGATTCTTCAGGGTTCTTGCTGAAGGCACAGACCATCTGCACAACAGGCTTCTAAGAGATGGAGATTGTGCAAGGAGTAGAATTCTCAACTCTTTTTCCAATTTTACTTTTTCTCCCAGTCCCCCTCCTCATCATCATTGGGTTTAAATTCTCGGGTACTGCTGACTTGGGATCTGTATCCTCAGAATCTCCTCTGGCCACAGTTCCTGGTGTCAGGGGCAGCAACAGCCTTGGGCAGGAGTCATTGGTACAATTCACACTTTTATAATCTTGAAACTTACAATAATCTTCCATATCCTTTAATTCGAGATAAAGAACTTGATCAAGTTCCCACAATTGATCATTGATGACTGTACCACCCAAACCAGATGTTCTTACTGATTTCAAAGTCCCCGTTCTTTCAACTTCACCCCTCTAGGTATAAGCCACACATATGATATGCACACTGGAAAGCATAAAATAATAACTGTCCCAAAGAGCTCTGCTCATATTCCTTAAACTCAGTCCTTTGAATTAGCAGGCTAACTCTTTATAATGCAAATAGATCAGAAGTTCACACTTAGCATTCACATCCATAGATAGAGCTGCAGCTCACCTTCTAGCCCTTGGAATGAACTTCAGAAACCAAATAGAAATCAGCATCTTCATCTGAAAAATAAAGCCCAGAAAAAGTTGAGGGCACAGTGTTGTTGGTAGGAATATGCACTGGAATCCCAACTAGAACCTTACCCTCCTTGGCCAACAAGGTCCATCTGCAAAATATCCCACTGCAAGGGTGGTCCAGTCTTGTGACTATCGAGACTGCCCATTTTAATCTCAATCTCTTTTCTTAAAAATTAGCAAATCAATTTAATCTTCCATTTTGCATCATTATATTAGTTGAAGGTTTTCAAAGGAAATTTTCGTTTTCGTGAACAGAGTTATGTGCACCCAAGTTCATTCTCCCAACAGAATTTCACCTATTCTCTTTTGTTAAAGAGAAATCATTTCTGCAATCTTATAATGAGATTTATCAAGAAATAATCAATTTTATTTATCAAGAAATCCCTTTTTAAAAAGTTTCTGTGGGTGTGGAAATGTTAGACTTCTGTCCAACATGAGGTAGGACAGCTCCCCAAGGTCTGGACTCACTGAAAGACAGAAGGTTTGAAAAGAAAAGAGTAGGGCTAAGTAGATGGATGAGGTCTGTGTTTTGTGTTCTTGTGTTCTTGTGGCACTCACTCCCAGGAGGCCACATGAGGATAAGAGATCATTGGGATGAGGACAGAGTACCAGGAAGTGAGTGAGGGGCTCACAAAGGGAGAATGTGTACCCCAAAGACAACTTAGACATTTTCCCCATTTTCAATACTCTGCTGGATAAAGACCTAGAAAGCTACTTTCATGGTGTTTGCAAACATGACTTGATGGTAAATAAGGAGGCTGTTGTCATTATGTGCTGTTGAGTCAGTTCAGAGTCATAGCAATCCTATATACGGTTTCAAAAGAGCAGCTGGTAGCTTTGAATCGGCAACCTTGCAGTTAGCAGTCTAGTGCTGATCCTACAGTGCCACACCAGGACTCCAAATATGGAGGCTAGATCCTACTAAGACCTGTTAGGAAATGTCTGACAGACATACAGACAGACCCAACAAGTTCGAGACTGTGCTGGATCCCGCAGCCAATGGTGGGGTAATGGAACTGATGATAAGCCCCGTTCACTTTGCAATCTTCTCCAAGCTAAGAGAATCCTCGATGCAGATGTCAAACCTTTGGGAGTAGGCTAGGGGACATCACAATAGCACAGATTGAGCACCTACTGTTTGCTGAGCACTGAGCTGGACCCTCTGAGAGACCCACATCGGTCCCAGATGAAAGGGGTCTTCTCCCTGTCATTGGAATATTGCTGGGCCCCTCCAGCGTTTTTCCCCCTTACTAACCTATATCATTTCATCAGTAAATGTTTTAAGTCCTCTTCACTTTCAGCAAGCAAGATTGTATCATCTGCATGTCACAGGTTGTTAATGAGTCTTCCTCCAATCCTGATGCCACATTTTTCTTCATATAACCCAAGTTCTCAGAGTATTTGCTCAGCATACAGGTTGAATAAGTACGGTGAAAGAATACAACCTTGTCGCACACCTTTCTTCATTTTAAACCATTCAGTGTTCCCATGTTCTATTCGAACAACTGCTTCTTGGTCCAGGTACAGATTCCTCATGAGCAGAATGAAGTGTTCCAGAACACTCATACTTCTCAATGTTGTCCATAGCTTGTCATGATCCACACAACCGAAAGCCTTTGCATAGTCAATAAAGCACAGGTAAACTTTGCTTGCTGTAAGTGAAGAGGACTTAAAACATTTACTGATGAAGATCAAAGAGCATAGCCTTCAGTATGGATTGCATCTCAATGTAAAGAAAACAAAAATCCTCACTACTGGACCAATAGACAACATTCTTATCAATGGAGAAAAGATTGAAGTTGTCAAGGACTTCATTCTTCTTGTATCAACTATCAACACTCATGGAAGCAGCAGTCAAGAAATCATATGATGTATGGCATTAGGCAAATCTGCTGCACAAGACCTTTTTAACCAGAGGGGGCAGGGAGGCAGGTTTGTAGGATATACCCTTTGGTTGGTTGATGATTCATAGAGGGGATTATAACCATGACAATGAAACACTATACGATAGGATGAATGTAAAACTAATGTTCTCCCATGTAAACTATCACATAATTCACAATAAAACATTTAAAATAAAATAAAAAAGACCTTTTTAAAATGTTGAAGAGCAAAGATGTCAGCTTAAGGACTAAGGTGCATCTGACCTGAGCCATGGTATTTTCAATAACCTTATATGCATGTGAAAGCTGGATAGTGAATAAGGAAGACCGTAAAAGAATTGATGCTTTTGAGTTATGGTGTTGGCAGAGAATATCGAAAGTGCCATGGGGTGCCAAAAGAACCAATAGATCCACTTTGGAAGAAGTGCAGCCAGAGTGCTCCTTGGAGGCCAGGATGGCCAAACTTCATCTCTCTTATTTCGGACATAATGTCAGGAGGGACCAGTCACTGGAGAAGGATATCATGTTTGGTAAGACGGAGGGTTAGAGAAAAAGAGGAAGACCCCCAATGAGATGGGTTGGCCAAGTGGCAGCATCGATGGACTCAAGCGTGGCAACAGTAGTGAGGTTGGCCCAGGACCAGGCAGTGTTTTGTTCTGCTGTGCATAAGGTTGCTATGGGTCGGTACCAACTTGATGGCACCTAACAACAACAACCTATATCACACTTGATTGCAGCCCTTTTGATCTCCCTTAAAATCCACCCACTGCCATAAAGTTGATTCCAACTCATAGAGACCTTATATAGTTCTATATAGAACCTTATAGTTCTAAGACTATAAATCTTTACAGGAGTAGACAGTTTCATCTTTTCCCCTCAGATGGGCTGGTGGTTTGTAACCACTAACCTTGCAGTTAGCAACCCAATGCTTAACCCACAGCACCACCAAGACTCTTTGTGACCCCCCCCCCCGTTGTTGTTGTTAAGTGCTACCAAGGCAGTTCCAACTCAAAGCAACCCTATATAGGGTTCCCAAGTAGCAGTTGATGAGTTTGAACCATCGACCTTGTAGTTAGCAGTCCCATGCTTATCCTACAATGCCACACCAGTAGACCATAAAGGTCCTTGGGTGAGGTAAGTGGTTTGCACTTGATTAGTAATATAAACATTGGGAGTTCAAATCCACCCAATAGTGCCTCCAAAGAAAGTCTTGGTGATCTGCTAACACAAAGATTGTAGCCATTGAGTTGAGTTCACATACATAACTCAGTATGAACTTGATGGCAGTGGGTTTGGTTTGGTGTTTGGTTAGTAGGCTGTAAGTTTCTTAAGGCCAAGGTCCAATTCAGTTCCATCTTGGTATCTCCCCTGATATCTGACATAGGATCTGGCACATAGAAGTTTACATGACTGATCAGTAAGAGTTTCCTATCCCAAACTTGGTGCCATCTTGGAAGGTGGGATTTGGAGCATGAAGTAGCTACCCCAGGGAGAAGGGATAACCAGACTAAGCAAGTAACTCCCTGTCTTCTTGTGTTGCAGTTCACTGGCTGTTTACCACATGTGGAGCAAGTGGACCTCATGGCCCCACGCAAGCACAATGCAACAATGCCTATCAGAACTCCAATGTGAGCGTGGTAGTGGGGAGCCAGGGCCCCCTGAAGGGTGTCCAGATCTGGAAGGTGCCAGCCACGGACACCTACAGGTATGTACGGGAGATGGGCAGGAGGCCAAGGGGCAGCCTTGTCCTCCTGAAGATGCTCTGTGTCCCTCTGGGTGCATACTAAGCTCAGAGACCACAGCCTGGCCCCAAAGGAGCTGTAGAAGGACTGGAGATGAGGCAACTTGGGGGGCCGGAATATGGTAATCAAAGAAGATGTGCTCTTTTTCCTCACAGAACCCTCAGGGTTGTTTGGGAAAACAATATGCATGCAGAAGTTACCTTCAGAACATGTTCTATCTTTATCATTAATAATTAAAATTAAGGCATACTGTTCTTTAAGTATTACTTGGCACTGTTCACATGAGGCTATGGGGAGCAAAATTATGGCATACATGCAAGATGCTGTTCTTACCCTTGGACCTCCTTGCTGGGACATCCCTGGGAAGTAAAGCAAACTATTCACTCATTCTTAACCCCCTCCTCATCCCAACCCTAGCCCCACAGTAACAAACATATAGAGTAAGTAAGGCCAGACTGCCCGGAGGACGGCTCCACTGCACCACTTTGAGGACAGGTCTTAAAGCAAAGCTAATGTCAAGGCTTGTGTCAAACAGTGGTCCTCAAATTCAAATTCACTGTGCATCAGAATCACCTGCGTTGTTGGGGTGACTGACTCAGTAGGTCTAGAGTGGAATCTTGGGGTCCTGGTGTGGCACTGTGGATTAATGTGCTGGACTGCAAAGTCAGTTTGAACTACAAGGTCAGCAGTTCAAACTTGCCAGATGCTCTTCAGAAACCCTATGCAGGGTTGCGATGGGTCAGAACTGATTAGAAGGCAGTTAACAACAAGGGTAGAATCTTGAGAATTTGCATTCCTAACATGCTTCCTGATCCTGCTGCTGCCTGGTCCGGGACCACACTTTGAGAATCACTGAGCAAGAGCAAACCCTTGATTTAAATAATCCCAGAGCTCTGGTAGCGTAGTGGTTACGAATCGGGCTGCGAACCTTAAGGTCAGCGGTTCGAAACTACCAGCTGCTCCGCGGGAGAAAGATGAGGCTTTC